TTGGCTATGGACTGTTAAAAGTTTGTAGAATTGTGAATAGTGGAACATACTCAAAAAACGATTTTAAAATATAGATAACAGGTGCAAACATTCTCTCTTTTGAATGCTTACCAAGATTTAGCAAGGCTGTACATAAATAATAAAAAAGAAACATGGGATCTCCATATTATGCACTATATTTAACTTTTTACAAAATGATATTACATTTAAATTTTGAATTGTTACAGCCATTTTAAATATGAGCATTAGCAAACTTCTTACTCAGTGAATTGTTATGCAAATTAGTAATTATCTCAGCTTTTTTTAGTGCATATCCCAGAACTTTAAAAAATAGCTCCGAGACGCTTTGACCTTTTGTTTTAAAATTTTCACAAATGATTGACAATGTGTTTATCTTGAGAACGCCGTCGGGGCATTTTTGTTGGTTGAACAGTGTTACAACAATCGTACAGACAACTAGCCTAGGTGTTAATTTATGCATAAACTTGAAGTAGTGAAATTTGAGCTGCTGCCCTGCAAAATTGACAACTGGTTGACAGTTTTCAAGACGGCACTTTCTTCATAGTAAACAGATGTACCTGTAAACCAATTTTGACAGGAAACAGAAGCATGGTTTAGAAGCTATTTTTTTAAATCACTTTTGACCAAAAAAGCACATTTTTGTCCATATTTCAAACTACAGTGTCCATAACAAACAAATAAACAAACAAAGTTTTAAAATTCATACAACAGGCTTTCCGAAAATATATAGTTTTGTGGACAAGGGAGGTCATCTTAGTTTTTTAATTAACTAATTAAAATACCTGTCAGGTAAACTGCATCTCTACCTCAAGGTAATGTTCTTTGGAACTATTGACGTTTCATACAAGTCTAAATAAATATCAACCAATCACCCCACCACCTTTACACGAGTATTGGCCACGATTTACATACACATACACCAATCATGCTACCTTTACACGAGTATTGACCACGATCTACATAAACATCCACCAATCACGCTACCTCTAGACGAGTATTGGCCACGATCTACAACACACCCACAAGTCACGCTACATCTAGACGAGTATTGGCCACGATCTACATACACATCCACCAATCAGGCTACATCTAGACGAGTATTGGCCATGATCTACAACACATCCACCAATCACGCTACTTCTACACGAGTATTGGCCACGATCTACATACACATACACCAATCACGCTACCTCTGGACGAGTATGGCCCATGATCTAGAGACACATCCACCAGTCACGTTACAGCTAGACGAGTATTGGCCACGATCT